CTCACAGTTCGTGGGCTTTCTCCTTTTTTCACTTTTTAAAGTATATATATATATTGATTTCAGAGAGGAAGGAAGAGGGAAAGAGAGAGAGAAACATCCATAATGAGAAAGAATCATGGATCGGCTGCCTCCTGCAAGTCCCCCACTGGGGATGGAGCCCACAACCCAGGCATATGCCCTTGACCGGAATTGAACCTGGGACCTTTCAGTTTGCAGGCCGGCGCTCTATCCACTGAGCCAAACCGGCTAGGGCTCCTTTTTTCACTTCTGATCTTGTGTATTTTACATGATTCTTAATTTTAACAACACTCTTGCCACTAGTGCCGGGGGCGGGGAGTGAACCTCAAACCCAGGAACGTGCCCTTGACTGGGAATCCAATCTGTGACCCTTCTGGGCGGGGGCAAAGGAAAATTCCAGGACAAGTGGAATGGGGAAGCTGAGACAGAGAGTTAAACAGCAGTCTGTGTCTATCTACTAAAGCCTATCTTCCTTAAACTAAGGACACTTAAAAGTAAACGGTTTGCATTTCTCCTCCCCAGCCAGGGGGAAAACAGCTTCAATCACCCTACTCAGGGAGACAGATAACAGAAATCCAATTAAGCGCCATTTGCCAACCACACCCAAGGACAGGCCAAGTAAGAGAATAAATCTCATTTTGGTCCATCAGCATAAAGCCGAGGAATATTTTCATTGATCCTCCGCCAAGACCTCTCCTAAATCTCAGCCTTTAAAACCCCCGAAACCGAAGTTCCAAGCTCGCTGTCCAGGGAGCACGCCTGTGCCATTCCCTTCCCCTTCTCCTTCCCCTCAGGCACGCATCCCCTCACCTCTAAGGGACCCCATGAGACTCCCAACCAAGGGAGCAACGGGCAGCGGGGATGATGCTCAACCGACTGAGCCCACTAGCCAGGGCCATCACCACATCCCTTTCTAACCCAGCCAGGAGACGTTCCCCAATTCTAAGGACTAGTGTTAAGGATTAGATTTTGCTCGCTCAGATAATCCCGGATAGTCTCCCCATCTCAAAGTCCACGCCGGTGACATCATGATTTATAATACACGTAAATATATATATTTGGTTCTTGGTCCAGGTTCCTGGCACAGAGCTCCTAGCATCCTCAGAATTTCCCAATGAGAAGAGAGATAAAGGCATCTTTGTTATGTGAATGAAGTGGATTTTGCCCCTAGGTCACCTGAGGATGGGGAAAGGACAACCAATCAAATGAGTACTGAGTTGGAATTTTCCTCTGGGAGGAGAGAGGGGCTAGGGATTGAGTTCAGTCATCAATGACCAATAATGTAATCAATAATTCCTTCAGGAAAACCCAAAAGAATGGGGTCCTGGGAGCATCCGGTTGGTGAATACATAGAGATTTGGGGAGAGTGGTGTGCTCAGAGCTGGGAAGCTCCTCATCCCTTGGTTAGGGTCAAAAAATAGAATATTGGGAACTCACTATAATTGTAAGAAATATGAACCATGCTCTGGTATCCGTGATTATTCTGATTAGAGGAAGCAGGTTCTCACCTGGCTGAGAGTTGTGCGCCCTGGACAGGGGAGCTCACATCCGAATGCAGTCCAGCCTCCTTTCCCGAGAACCGCCTCTCATTATGGAAAGATTTACAACCCTGTGGCTAAGACAACCTAGTCCCGGAGATAACTGCTCTTTACAACGCCAGCCCCTATTGCCTGTAATCTAGTCCCGGGTGCCTGGAGGTGCCCGCCCTCTGCAACCCCTCCCCCCAGCCCGCATGACTTGTAACCTGTAATGGTTGTACCCTGACTACTTTCCCAGGCCTGTAATCCCTCTCTCTCAGGTCATCTTTGTCCTTCTACCCGATATTAGGAGTTGCCTTATGGAGAGAGGCAGAGCGGATTTTTGTGGATGACCTGCTGCTCCCCCGTGCTGCCGGCAGTATTGGAATAAACGCTCATATATGCTTCAACCCAGCCTCTGTTTAATTGGCTCAAGTAGTGACAGGCAGCCCAGACCCATGGGTTGTCAGGTTTCACCTTCCCACATACCTTGCTTAGGCATCTCTTTCATCTGGCTGGCCCTGAGTTGTATTCTCTGTCAAATCAAATCAGGAGGCTTTGGCTAGAAAGGAATGACAAAGATTTTTTTTTTTTTCAAGGGATTTGCAAATAGGAAATACAACTAGGCAATGCCCGGAGTGTTCCAAAGAAGCAGTTCTGCCTTCTTAGCCTCTGGGTGGGTGTGAGATGCTGATCTTCCAGAAGTCTGTGGTCTTTCTAGATAATAGATGTGGATGATCAGATTACCTTGTGAGGTCCATAATCTGATCATAAATTCCTAACGGGGCAGGTCATGGTGAGTAGTCAAGCCCTAGGCCTATAACTTTTTAGTAAAAGGTTTATCTTGCCGTAAGCAATCCCATGTGTCCATTGTTTCTGTGCATCTAGATGAACTCAACTTTGAAATAAACCGCAAGCACCCTTAAACCCGGCTGGTGTGGCTCAGTGGTTGAGCATTGACCTATGAACCAGAAGATCATGGTTTGATTCCTGGTTGGGGCACGTGCAATGCCCCGGTTGCAGGCTCCATCCCCAGTGTGGGGTGTGCAGGAGGCAGCCGATCAATGATTCTCTCTCATCATAGATGTTTCTATCTCTCCCTCTCTCTCTGAAATTAAAAAGAAGAGAGAAAGATAAAGAAAAGAGAGAGCACAGCATCTGGTTAACTATCCTGAAACCCACTCCCCACCCTGCTCTCTTCAACCTTCATGTATTCTTCCTTACGTTCCCTTCTTAATTCCAAATGCATATAAGAAATTGCAAAGCTGTTGTTCTCCGGAGCATTTGAGACCTTGCGCCCATGCATCTGTTGTCAGTTTGCCTCAAATAAACCCTTACAACAATCTTCTACAGGTTTGGACATTTCTTACGTCAACATGGATGTCTGGTGGTGTGGACAAGAGAACATTCTTTTCTGATTCTTCCGAAGGTTGTCTATAGGATTTATATCTCTCTCCAGGCATTGATGTACAGCTGAGAAGTTCAAAAGCTTAAGTCCTCAGGCTCATTAAAGTACAATTAAATCTATTCCTCGTGCTTCAGCCCATTTGGTTTTGTGAACTTGACTATACAGATTTCATTTTCAGTCAGCTTAGCTGTACTGACTTGGTCTTGTTTTATTACTCACTCCTCACCTTTAATAATAAACTGGCGACCTAAGAAGTAACAACTCAAATAAACCCTTACAACAATCCTCTACAGGTTTGGACATTTCTTACGTCAATATGGATGTCTGGTGGTGTGGACAAGAGAACACTCTTCACCTTTAATAATAAACTGGCGACCTAAGAAGTAACATGTTTCTCTGAACCCTGTGAGCTGCTCTAGCAAATTAATCGAACCCAAGGAGAGGGTTGTGGGAACCTCTAATATATAGAAGCTCGATGACAACCTGGAATATATATATATTGATTTCAGAGAGGAAGGAAGAGGGAGAGAGAGATAGAAACATCAATGATGAGAGAGAATCATGGATCGGCTGCCTCCTGCACGCCCCCTAGTGGGGATCAAGCCTGCGACCCAGTGTGGGTGGGGGTAGTAGTCTTGTAGGAGAGCCCATAACCTGTGGGGTCTGACACTATCTCCAGGTACTATCTCCAGGTAGACAGTGTCTGGACTGAGTTAATTGCTTGGTTGAGTGCGGGAAAACACACCTTGATGTCAGAATCAGAATACAGTACTCTAATTTTTTTTTTTAAGTTGGTTTTAGAGAGATAGAGGAAGGGAGGGGGGGGAGAGAGAGATATCAATGGGCTGCCTCCTGCATGCCCCCTGCTGGGGATCGAGCCTGCAACCGGACAAGTGCCCTGACCCCTGACGGAGAATCCAACCCGGGACCTTTGGTGCATGGGATGATGCTTAACCAACTGAGCCAGACCAGCATAGTTACTTCTTACTCATAGTAGTAATACTGTTTCCATTTAATGAAACAATGTCAATTTTCTTCGTTAAGTATTTTTCTTTTTCAGTTGATTGGACTTATTTTTAAAAAAATATATTTTATTGTTTTTTTACAGAGAGGAAGGGAGAGGGATAGAGAGTTAGAAACATCGATGAGAGAGAAACATCCATCAGCTGCCTCCTGCACGCCCCCCACTGGGGATGTGCCCACAACCAAAGTACATGCCCTTGACTGGAATCGAACCTGGGACCCTTCAGTCCTCAGGCCGAGGCTCTATCCACTGAGCCAAACCGGCCAGGGCGTAAAGGATGCTGTAGACTGTGTCCTCCCCAAATTCATATTTTGAAACCTGCCCTCCAGTGTGATGACATTAAGAGGTGTGTGTGGGGGTCTTTGGGAGGTGATTAGATCATGAGGTGGGAGCCTTATAACAGAGGCCCCCAAAGAGCCCCCTTGTCCCAGAAAAAAAGACAGCTTCTACGAACCAGTAAGCAGGCCTTCACCAGAAGCTAAATCTGCAGACGCCTTGACCTCGGACTTCCCAACATCCAGAACCATGAGGGAAAAAAATGCTTTTTGTTTAGGTACCCCAGACAAAGGGCATGTTACAGACATAGCATCCCATACGAACCAGTAAGCAGGTCTTTCCCAGAAGCCAAATCTGCAGACGCCTGGACCTCGGACTTCCCAACATCCAGAACCATGAGAAAAAAATGCTTTTTGTTTAGGTCCCCCAGACAAAGGGCATGTTACAGACATAGCATCCCATAAATGCTTAAGTAGAAAAAAACACAACGCAAACTGGTGGTAAGGACTGAGGCTGGGAACTGAGGCCTGGACGAGAAGGTTCTAAGGCCTGTCCCAAGACAGGAAGCCGCTGAAGGTGGAAGAAATGGTGTCTGTTTGGTAGAAGGCCTGCCTCCCAAAGACCCAACAACAACCTTGTTGACATAACCCTGTGGATCAAAGTAATCCCCTCGCTGCCCCAGGCCAGTTCCTGTGGTTCCGGGAGGACATCATTCAGCGGATCCAGATCCGGTAAATAAAAAAGGTCTGGTCCTTGGATGGGGAACTACATCCGGGAAGAGGCTGCCAAAAAACGGCTCCTCCTGCCACCGCTCACCGACCAGGCTAGACCAGGTGCTGTGGCAGCAGCGGTGGCCTCATTAGAAGACCCCGCGGACCGGAGAGACAGCGCCCAAATCATGGGCCCTGCGACAGAGCTGGACACCAGTTCAGGTAGGAGGTGGCAGAGGCTGCCTCGGCCCCGAAGGTGCTGGGAGGTGAGGGGCAGAGCTCTGCTGAGGGTGCTGGGAGGTGAGGGCAGAGCACAGCTACCCTCCCTTTGGGCTGCCAGGATTTGCAAGCTGGGGATGGACTTCACGTTTGTTTCTTGTATCAACCAGCCTAGCAGAACAGAAGCTTCCTGTTAGCCTGTGTTGTGGTGACGAGCACACAGTGCAGAGAATGGATTGTTTATTATTAGGGTAACTCGAAACATCACTTTTTGAAGAGCCCCGGCTTTCGCTTCAGAGACACCTGCTCTTGCACTTGCTTCATTGACACACGGACGGATTGGCTCACAGCTGCTTCTCCCTGCGCTGGGCTCTGTGTTGGGAGGGAAGCACAGAGCAGGAATCCTCGGGGCAAAGGAGACCAGGCACTAAAGGTGTTCTCTGAGGTTCTGGTCTGATGTGGGGAGGGGGAGGGCCGCATGGTGCTCCCTGAGGGCCTCAGGCCCCACCCCCGACCCACCCTTCCAGAATCTGTGGGTGGACAAGATGCTGGGCCATCTGTGTGCACAGTAAAGACGAGAAGCTCCCAGGAAGTGGTCCCTGCTTCTGGGAGGCAGATGGCTGAGCAGGGGAAGCAGGATGTAGTCAGGTCTCTCTGAGGCTGACGTCCAGGCCCTTAGACCCCACTCTTTCCATGTACGTGTGTCAGTGCCTGCGGGATGAATGAACATGTGGTTCAACAGATGAATGAACAGAACCACATCCCTGTGCTAACACAACCTTTGGTCTTTGCCTTCCTTCTAGGTGGGAAGCCGGCCCACCAGCAGAAGGCCATGCCCGCAGCTCACCAGCAGAAGGCCATGCCCACAGCTCACCTAACTTTCGTCATCGACTGTGCTAGTGGAAAGCAGCTCTCCCTGGCAGCACCCCTTGTGCCACCCCAAGCCCCCGGTCCTTACCTAGGAGCTGTCACCCCTCCAATGAAGACCTATATCTTGTTCTGCGGGGACAGCCAGCCCCCTCTGACTCAGGAGGCCATCCTGGTCACCAGCAGAAGGCCGTGCCCGCAGCTCACCTAACTTTCGTCATCGACTGTGCTAGTGGAAAGCAGCTCTCCCTGGCAGCACCCCTTGTGCCACCCCAAGCCCCCGGTCCTTACCTAGGACCTGTCACCCCTCCAATGAAGACCTATATCTTGTTCTGCGGGGACAGCCAGCCCCCTCTGACTCAGGAGGCCATCCTGGGTGGGGGGCACATTGCCCAGGCCAGGGGCACCCTGCCACCCTGCAGTGGGACTGTGGCCCCAGCTTCCTCCTCACTCAGCCCACTATGCCCCCAGGGGGCCCCTGAAGCTAAGGGGAGCCCCTTAAAGACAATGCCTACAAGGTATTTGGCTTGGGAAACAGTCATGGGCTTGCTCAAAGCTTTCTCCTCCTGTGTCTGTGGGCAGGCAGATTAACTGGAACAGCCTGACCATGGCAGGAGGGGGTTGGCCCATCAGTAGATGAGGGGATAAAAAAAACTGTGGTACATTTGCACCATGGAATGCTATTCAGCAGTAAAAAAAGAAGGATCTCTTGCCCTTTGAGACAGAATGGAGGGACCTGGGGAGTATTACGATAAGCGAGATAAGCCAGTCAGAGAAAGACAAGTATCACATGATCTCACTCAGATGTGGAATCTAATGAACAAAATAAACTGATGAACAAAATAGATCCAGAGACGTAGAAGCATGGAAGGGACTGCGAAATTTCAGAGGGAAGGCAGGGGTGGGTAGGTGGATGGGAAGAGATCAACTAAAGAACTTGTATGTATAGGTATAACCTATGGACACAGACAATAGGGTGGTGAAGGCCTGGGGCGGGGGACTAGATCAATGGGGGAGCGAGGGGGACATATGTAATACTTTCCACATTAAAGATGTAATTAAAAAATAAATAAAAAGCGAGAAGGAGAGAGTACTGTGAGCCACCCTCCCAGGGCCACCGGGCTGGCATCTTACCCAGGGCAGACCAGAATGGCGTCAGGACGCCCCAGCGCACACGCTGGCTGCTGTCGTCTTGGCTCACGTACAAGTGTACAGGTCACCCAAGGGCACGAGACCCAGCAGAACTTAGGTGGGGTCCAGCAACCCGAGTGAATAAAGGGAACAAGAGGGAGTGGAAGTGTGCAAAAGGGAAGGGAGTATCATATTTGAACAAATAAAGTAAGATATTATTTATTTATTTTAAAAATATATTTTATTGATTTTTTTACAGAGAAGGGAGAGGGATAGAGAGTTAGAAACATTGATGAGAGAGAAACATCGATCAGCTGCCACTTGCATACTCCCTACTGGGGATGTGCCTGCAACCAAGGTACATGCCCTTGACCGGAATCGAACCTGGGACTCTTCAGTCTGCAGAGAGATGCTCTATCCACTGAGCCAAACCGGTTAGGGCAAGATATTATTTATTGAGCATCTACTGCATACCAGGTTCATGCTGTCCCCCTAGAAACACACAAAAAAGGGGGGGCTTCTGCTCCATAGGGCAGTCAGGTTCCCCAGCAGGAAGTGCAGTGTGGTCACTGGTGTGTGTGAGGGTATATGTAGGTCTAAGAGGAAGTGTCTCAAGGCTCTCAGATTAAAATGGCTGAATGTTCACTTATTTATTCATTGACTGTTTTTACCAGGTTCCTACAAACATTAGTGGCTAACATGTATCGACCATTTGCTCTGTGCCAGGGAAACAACATCCTCGTTGTGCCAGTTTGGGGATGCACTATTTTTGTACCCATTTCACAGATTAGGGAACTGAGGCACAGAAAGGTTGAGGGACCCACTCAAGTCCCCATGGACTAGTATAGTTGGGATTAGAACCTGTGTTTCTCTCTCTCTCTCCCTCTCCCTTCCTCTGTCTCTAGAATCAATAATTAATAATAATAACCCCCAAATTATACCAATTAAAAAAAATGCCTGGTGCTCAAGTTCTTGCTTCTAACCATAGGGTCAATGGCCTCTCATCCTAGTAAGGTCTCTTAGGCAGAAGGGATTCAGAGAGAACAGACTTAACCCTGTCTTGGAGCTCACAGCCTGGTGGGGAAGTCAAGAAAGGTGACTATTAATTGCCATAGCTTCTGATAAATGCAACAATAGGGCACACAGAATGCTGTTGGGGCTGGAGGAGGGTGCCCAGTTCACTTTGGGAGAGGAAATCGGGGAAGGCTTCCTGCAGGGGAAGTAACATAAGCTAAAATCTGACCAGTGAGTGAAACATACAAAGGCAAGGAGGCAGGGGTGGGGAGTGTTCCAGGAAGGAGGACCTGGAGCATACAGTCAGTCTGGCTGGGGTATTCATTCATTCATTCATTCATTCACCAAGTATTTATTGGGCATCTGCTGGGTGCCAGGCTCTGTGCTAGGAGCTGGGACGGAGCTGTGACAAAACAGATGGGGCCCCACCACAGAGGTGCTTCTTCTCCAGCAAAGAACACACATGAAACGGGCAGAGAGGCCAGAGAAGTGGCAGGGGCCACATTATGTGGGGCCTTGCAGGTCACAATGAGGTCTTTCGATTTTATTCTGAGATGGGACCACTGGAAATTGTGAGCAGAGTGACATGACCAGACCTACCTTTTAAAAAATGTCCTCTAGCCCCACCAGTGTGGCTCAGTGGTTTAGCACCAACCCAGGAACCAAGAGGTCGCTGGTTCCATTACCGGTCAGGACACACGCCCTGGTTGCAGGCTTGATCCCCAGTATCATGCAGGAGGCAGCCAATCTATGATGTTCCTCTTTCATCGATGTCTCTATCCCTTTCCCTTCCTCTGTTTCTAAAAATAAAAACATAGTTTAAAAATAAATAAAAATTTACTCTAGTTCTTGTACTGGGATCAGAAGCTTGAGGAAGTTGCCCCTTAATCCAGGCAAGGAGGGGATGGTTTGACCTAGAGAGGCGGTGACAGAATAATCTGGACAACATAGGTCCCTTCCTCTCTTCTCCTCGCTAAGAATCAGCGGGCCAAAATAAAAGAAAACAAAGCAAAACAAAAACAACAAAAATAAATCACTGGGCTAGAAGAGCCCAGACACAATTGACAAAGGGAATTTGAGGAAAAGCGTGAAGCCTTTGGCTGCACATCTACCTTTTCACCAGCAGGTGTCGCCCTATCATCAGACTGGAGGGCACCTGGCCTTCCTGGCTGGGGAAGGTGGGAACGTGCTGGGCAGGGAGCCAGAGCCCGGGGGAACAGGGGCTCAGCGAGGGGTCCATGTATTCAGAAGCCAGACTTTCATTCTAACCAATACCCCTTTCATCTGCAATAATGGCTATTGATGTTTTTAGGTGCACCACCTGCCTCAAGTTCCTTTCACACCAGACCTGTGAGGTGGGTGCAATTTTTATTGCCATTATACAGATGAGGAAACTGAGGCCCAGAGAGAGGAAGTGATGTGCCCGAGGTCACCGACTCAGACAGAGGCAGAGCCCAAATCCAAACCCCAGGCAGTGTGACTACACACCTGTTGTCACAGCAACGTGACCCCATGCTCTGCTGTAGGCACTCCGTCCACATTTGTTGAATGAGCGAATGAAGGAAGAATGAAGAATTTCCAAGGACCCAGCCTAGGGCCTGGCAGCATGTAGGGAGTGTCTGGGCTGAACAGGTGAGGGGGGCCCTCACTGAGATGGAGGAGAGTAGCTCAGTTAGTCTCTTCAGCACAGTCCTATGAGGTGCTATTCCATTTTACAGATGAGGAAACTGAGGCTCTAGTAGGTTAAGCAGCTGGTCACACAGCTAGTAAGTGGCAGAGTCAGGCTAGAAATGGAAGTAATTTGGACCTCAGAGCTTTAACAACAGACCATACTGTATGGACTTACCGAAAACCTGTTGAGGGAATGAACCAATGAATAAATGATAGACTTTAACCCTGCCGGCGTGGCTCAGTGGTTGAGTATCCACCTATGAACCAGGAGGTCACAGTTTGGTTCCCCATCGGGGCACATGCCCAGGTTTTGGGCTCAGTCCCCAATGTGGGGCGTGCAGGAGGCAGCTGGTCGGTGATTCTCTCTCATCATTGATGTTTCTATCTCTCTTTCCCTTTCTCTCTGAAATCATAAAAATATATTTTAAAAAATAATAATAATAAATGATAGGCTTTATTGAACCAGTGAGTGAAAGGGTGAATAAGTGAATGTGTCCCTAGATTGGCAGCCATGCTTAATTCAGGACCATGTCCCGTCAAAAATAAATAAATGAGGACATTTTATGTATGTATGTATGTGTGTACGTATGTACGTATTTAGAGAATGTTTATAAGAGTTTATTTGAGCCAAAATGATGGCATTGCCGAGAAGCAAGATCTCAAATGCTCCAATGAGATAATTTTATTTTTAAAAGTATGTTTTTACTGATTTTATGGAGAGGGAGAGAAAGATAGAAACATTGATGAGAGAGAATAATTGATTGGCTGCCTCCTACATGCCCCCTACTAGGGATCAAACCTGAAACCTGGACATGTGCCCTGACCTGGAATCGAAATAAATACCTGTTGCCTCTCACTTCGAAAGGCCTTTTTAGTTTTAAGTTAGCAGTCCAGTCCGCAGTGCCTTAAAGTGCCTGGGGCACTAGATGGTCAAGAATTGTGCGAGAAGGGAGGAAGGGAGGAAAGGGCAGACCTACCTCTCCTCTCTGGCTCCCTGGGGCCAGCAGCCCTGCTTTTTGTCCTTCGGGGAGGCACCCAGAGGGCCCCCTCCCAGTCTAGTAGCCCCCAGGCTCTCCTGGAGGCTGTGCCTGGATGCAGGCCCTGGGGGACCGGCCTGGCTGGTGCTGACAGTGAGCCCAGGCCAGCTGTGCTGACAGTAAACAGCCCCCCGCCCCTGCCCAGAGGCCCTGGCCTTGCTCCCCGATCCAGCAGCTGAAGACACCCAGCCCCTCAGGACCCTGCCGTGTTTGAGGGCAGAGCCAGTGTGGGTGGAATCTTTGATTTCCTTGTTCGGAAAACAACAATTTTAACAAGAGCTTAGCATTTATTGAGCTTATACTAAAACATCACCTCTCTCAGCTTCCTCACAGCTGCCCTGGGAGGTGCCATCTGATCTTTGTTTATGGCTGAGGGGACTAAGGCTTGGGAGGTTCCCTCCCCACCTCCACCCCTGGGGCCCCAACAGGCTCTACTGGGGGGCCAGGGAACCTTTTAGCTCTGCCCTCACCTGCTTTTCCTGGAGAGAAGACCCAGGCACTAGGGCAGCTCCCCTGACCCCTCCCGCCACCC